AAATCGAATTTTCGACCCTTGCCGCGAAATTAAGAATTTGTCTGATTTTTACAGGCAGGCACTCTTAAATATTAATGTTCGAGGTTGAAAGAATACAGTGTTTTAGTATTTAGTACCTCATTTATTGTCAACTTGGAATTACTTTTTTACTTGTAGACTTGTAAACATCTGACATTTCAAGGGTTTAATCAAACAAAGTTGGGGTTTTTGACTTAAAAAGCCTTTAGTTAAGGTTTCACCTGGAACATAGCCTGGGATAACTACCAGTATTGTGTTTTATTCTTGGTGTAACGTTCACTCCATGTATCTTGTATGACTAAATTAGAGATTCAATAAATATTTGTGTGTCAACAGAAAGGCCAATGATTCTGTGTATACATGTACATTTATATATATATGTTGTGGTATAATTTTTACCTCAGCCTGCTTTAATATTTTTTAAACCAGGTTTACTATCATTATTTTTTTACTTTTTGGGGGGTTCTTAAAAAGAATAATATGCATACCACCCACCCCCTGTCAGTCCGTTACCCTATCCTTTCCTACCCCTCTCAGTCACTCCCTATCCCCACCAGGATCCCATATCAACCCCTATGATATACCTTACTACATGTAGGCCAACACTACATCCAGATGTCTGACTTACTAGTCCACCTTCATCTCCACTAGGCCTAACCTGCAATCATACACCCTCCCTCTCTATATTCAGACACAGAAAAGGCTCCCTTTCCTCAATTAAAAACAAAATGGCTGATTTTAGGCTACAGTAGGCCATGCAAATAATCATTGCAAATCTCCCCATATTTATTGGTCTAGTAAGTTATTGGTCCCAGACTCCCCTTTTCCTTTGACAAGAATTGAACTGCATACTGGAGACTGGCCAGGAGATTCATTCTTTATTCCTGAGAGAGAATTGGCACATGTCACTTACAAGAAGTGGCTTTACGGTCAGGGAGCTGGTGTCTTAAGGGAAGGTTCAACTATACAGTAGAAATACATGCAGATACTGTAGATTCACAGCAGGGCTTTAGTCTGCATGTTTATAATACAATTTGTTTATATTTTGTGTGTTTTTAGGGTTGGCCTGATATTAATGGTTCTTGGAGAAATAGGGAACTTTTCTGCCTATGGGTTTTCTCCAGCATCACTTGTTGCCCCTCTAGGAACCACCACTGTTATAGGTATGTTATTTATTTCATAAACAAAGTTTTGTGCGAGACATTAACAAACAAATAAAAAATTCAATATGAGTTTTATTCATAGTGGATTTCATGGTCAGTCACAATTAGGTGATTGTACAATATAACAAGCAGTGTATTCTGTTTATTTGTGTAATTTTCATGGCATGAAGTCATCTAGTGCTAGTTAAGGGTAAGGTAACTCATAATTGAACGAACAAGGAAGGAAATATGGTGACATTTGTTATTTTTTGAGACATTATTTGAGGGCCGCAGGTTAATTAGAGCTATGTACTACTAACATGTATTTAGCATGACCCTCTTGAAATAAAGTTTGTGTTGTATTGTATGTAGTTACTGTATTGTATTTTCAATATTCTGAAACAAGGTGATTTTTTTGAAAATAACTGAATTTTCCTTATTTTGAGTTTCTTTGTTCTTGTGAGAATAAATANAAGACACCATTGTTACAGAAAATTTTTAGCAACAACTTCTCGATAGCATAAGCTGTTGCTAAGCAACCTGAAGACCAATTGTGAGCAAGTAATTCTGCCCTCTTCACAAGCAAAATTAAGAAAAAAATACCCTCTTCATTGACCAATCAGCATACAGTAATTTTGCCCTCTATTTTATTGATTTAATAACAATGAATTTCTTTTGACTGAAAATACCTAATATTAAAATTCGAGGTTTTGAACTGTTATTCTTTACAGAGTCTGCTAAACAATTGGTCTAAAACCATGAGTTTTCAATGAATTAATGCCTTGTTGACTATTCACTCAGAGAAAGCTTGGGCTGATAGTCTAATTGTTATAACCTATTGTTTCTAGGGTCTGGAAGTTGTACTGTTTTGTATTTTACTGCTTGTTCAATGGCGCTATGACCTAGAAAATGTGGTTATCTTTCTGCTACTTGTGGCACTGTTAGGTAAGTTTGGAGTGGGTGCTCTTATGACACAAATTCTGTATGGTTTGTTACATAATTTTTTTTTAACATCATAAGCACAGTGTCTGGCATGAAATCTAAAGACCTGTTCCATGTTCAAAGCTGGTCAGGTTCTTGTTTTGTGTTCTTGGACATAATACTTACACATGATTTTTACATGGTGATTAATTTACAATTTAATGCTGTGAAGTATGTCTCATCCAAGGAGGGTATAATTACTACTACAATATGTAGTTGCTCCTTTAAATACTGTGAAAACTGTTAGAGTAAAGTATTGGTTATATAAGGCATAGTGCAGTAGCTACTTAAAGCAGACACTTGTCTGAGTTCCTGAAGGTGTTCTATTTGATATATTTAAAAGTCCATTGTTAATTTAGTATACAGTCGAAAACCTCCCATCAGCGACAACCCAAAATGTCAAGCCTAGGTGGTCACTTATGGGAGGTGGTTGCTTACAAGGGCTTACATCATAATTATTGGGTCAAAATTTTGTCTCATTAGCATAAGATAACTGCTTGGACTTACCCCATGTTTTCAATATTTTTTTATTTTTTTCATGTGAAAAGTCAGTTTCAAGAAAAAATCTGGTGCTTCACATTGAGAAATTTCTGTCCCTTGTACTGTAGCTATCCAGAATTGCGATAATGTT